AACAAAGTATGGGCAATTTGGAACCGCACGATTCTCGGCTGACTTCCTTGAATAAGATGCCCTTCAATTTTTAGGGTAAGGATTTTAGAAAAAAGTATAGTCGGAAAAATACAGTGTATCTCTCCTTCCCTGGGATGAAAAGCTAACATATGGAAGGACTCCTCTCATTTTTATGACCGTTACAGTCTGTAATGTACTTTTATATTATATCTGAATTGTATTTATCTGGTTTCTTCTAGCACACTGCAGCTGGTGCTGAAGGAGGAGGACAGTCACTAGTTTCTCCAGGTAGCTGTCTGGAAGACTTCAGAGCCACACCATTCATTGAATGCAATGGCGCTCAAGGGACCTGTCACTACTTTGCAAACAAATACAGTTTTTGGCTTACCACCATTGACCATAACTTTCAACACTCGCCTTCCCCAGATACACTCAAGGCTGGACTCATCCGAACACATATAAGCAGATGCCAAGTGTGTATGAAAAATTTGTAAAATAAACACAAAATAACCCCAAAGCAATAAGTCATGGCATGGATCAAATCTGTTGGTGCTTATTTAACTTATTACCTCGTCATTTGAACACAACTTCAACTACCATTGTTATCTGGAAGAACAAACCACTGCAAGTACTTATAACCAAGCTATTGTTCAGCCTTTGTTTATATATTTGTGGGTCTGCTTTTATATGCTGCGTATATACAGTCTGTTATGAGAATGAAACAATAGACAAAGTTTAATTATTAAATATACTTGCTGTCATTTATGTCTGATTTAATAATGTCAATTGATATTTATCTCCCTTTTCATATGCATATTACTGAACACTACTAACTCTTAGTAATTAAGTATTAAATAAACATTCAAACACAAATGCAAACTGTGTTAGAATTTAGGATTTTAAACTGTATTTAGCAGACTCAGATTGTTAAAAATGCAAATCCCATTTTAACATCCACAAAACAGTCAAAAATAGGAGCAAAAATATTCTTGCTCTAAAGGAGCCCTGTTTTTAGTTGAAGTCTTTGGTTACAAATCCAACAGAATTACAATGTTTTATGACTGGATGAAACTTTAACATGTACTCAATATACTTTATATTGCAATTATATTTCAGGGCCATTATTTGTTTCTTTATTAGACATCCTGTTGCTACATGTGCCTAACAAAAGCCTGCAGAGAATGAACAAGAAGCTTTATTTGTGTCCCGTTTAACTTAAATTCAGAATTCTGATGCATTGAACACAATGTTACATTATGCTGTGCAGTACCCTAAATGGACAGAGTGCATTAGACCAGAATTCAGTTCTCTCAGTACTGCTGTGGGGAATGTTCAGTGTGGCTTGGAGATAGACAGCCCATTATGGCCTTTTAGATGTTTATATTCCAACTAGGTTAATGAGAGATGATGGGTTGGAATCCAATTTGACTGTATTTTGCCTATTTCTATTCAACCACTGCTGGATATCACAGAATCTATGTCATAATAATCTCATGATAATTAGAGGAATAGCACAAAAGGAAGGTGCTTGGAAGATTATGCCCCGCAGCTTGTGCAATTGCAATTCAAGCTACAATCAAGAAGCACCCTACTAGACAGTACCATTCATTTAAGTTTTTTGAGCGCCCATACTTAGGAATATGATATCTGTCGTTCTTCCCAGTGTAAGAAAGATAAGAGAGAGACTCAATTAGTATCACGTTCTTGGGAGGGAAGTGAGTGAGTGATAGAAAAGGCATCTCCTCCCAGAAAGAATTAGGACTGTGCCTGGGAAAATGAGATACACACTCTTCTCATAGCAATGCAATAACAAAGCTGTGATTATGTGCACACTTATCGGGTAAGCTGTACAAATGAAGCTGGACTGGCTTCCAAGTAAACATGTATAAAATTGCTGAGTAAATCAGCTTCTATACCCAATTCTTTCACTAGTACTGACAAGCAGATGAAAAGGAGGCAGAATCAGAATTTCAACTGCAAGTGGCAACAACCCACCCTTGGTGGCGGGCAGCTGCCCACACCAATCTCTTCATTCCTCCGTGTAATTGGGCAGTGAGAGCTTCCCACTGTTTCCCAGAGAATTTCCTTCCCAAACCAAGTCCTGAATAAGAAATGCTCAAATACCCTTTCAGGTCTTTCTCCTTTGTACTTATGATCACAGTGTTTCATTTTGTATGATAAATAAAAGTGTGTCTTAAACTTTTTCCTATTGAATTGATACATGTTTTATTTATGACTTAAATCCTAAAAAAAATCCCATGTAAAGAAACAATCCACATATGAAGTGACTTGAAGGGGACAGGCCAAGAGAATCCAGGGAGCTTTTAGTTATTTAGAAGGGCCTGGCACTCCCAGCTCCACATCTAGGAAATGGTAGCACAAAGAAGTCGTATTGGAAATGTGCGTATCCAAGACATCACCCTTAGATACAGAGCATGTAATCGCATATTCAAATCAATGTAAATGCTTCATGTTTATGGAAATTCTACTAATATATTTCTTACATATCAGATAAAGGCTCATAAAGTTTCAGAATTAGAAGAGCATTATGTGGATTTAGAAGCCCAATGAACTTTTTTGTCTGTTGTAATGGACTTCCAAGTTGCATCCTTCAGTTTCCTCCCAACTCTCATTATTGTTTAAACCTATTTGGTCTGAAGCATGAGCTCAGCACTGTTATTTGCTGCCAGAACTCAGTCCTAAACAAATGCCATAATAATGTTGGGATTCAAAGCTAAGACAAAAAGTATATTTTCCAGGCATACTTTAGCCCATAATCTCTAGCTTTATAAATTACTGTGTACAATGGTAATTTGTAAATTTTACTGTTAATATAATTTTTTTGTTTTAAATTAGGCAACAGCACAGATTTTAAAAGCATGAGTAAACAGCTATTTCACTCTACATTTGAATGTCAACAGATTGTTTGATCACCCTCATAGTAATTTATTTCACATGCAGAAAATGTGGAAATAACCTTTTCAGGTAACCTGAACAAGGTAAAATTCCTGACAAGGTAAAATTCAGGTTGATATTTATTTTTTATATATTTCCCCAACAACAGCACTGCAAAATACTGAGATTTGCTATCACTGATTCACAACCAAAATATTTAAATAACCTTGATTTTCTAACAACCAAGTTCCCTGTTAGATATATTGCAGCCATCTCCGCAACAAAACACATCCATTTTATGAAAATATATAAAATCTAGTCTTTCTAGAATCTCATCCCACTTAAGTGTCTTAATACCTCCCTGTCCTCACCCACTTTTACATATTAATTTTCCCCCTAGCCATTTACTCATATCCGGTTTTATGACTCTATTAATTATCCATAATTTAGCAGAAAAAATATGCTTAAATAATTCCACCAGAATCATACCTAATAGCCAAAGAATATTTTAAAACTTCTCTTGCTGTTTTAGAAGATAAATAATTCATTAACTCCTTGGAGTTTCAAAGTCTGAAACCAATAGTACACTTATAAATATTTTTAGTTCCAGCACCACTAATTCACCACTGAGGATCAGCCTAAAAGTCCAGATTACTTTGTGAACTCCTTCAGGTACATTTTGTTATCAGAGAAATAGGAATACCTTTTTTTGTCTAACAACAAATGTCTGGGTTATCTAGTCTGAGATTATATTTACTACCTTCAAGTTGATCTGACTTCCTTCTTTCCCCTGCCTCTAATGACTACAACTATACAGCTAATGAGGAGGAAGAAAGGGGAAGTATCAGTTTGCTACTATTCCAAAGAAAATTATTTATTTTGCTGAAAGCAATATGGTGTGAAGTGGCTGATGAACATTTAGCTCCCTGAAAACTCTTTCTTCACAGTTATAAACTTTTCCTTGCTACACAGGGAATGCAAAAATATCAAAAGTTTCTTGCCAAAACAGATACTAAAGATTCATGTGTAAAACAGCACACAGTAACATAAATTTAATATGGAAGGGGGAAAAAAATCACAATTAATGGGATTTAAAAGCTTTCAGCACCTATCTCCAAACTCTCCTTCACTGATGTTTTTTGTCGTCATAACACCATTTAATTTTTACAAAAATCCATTTTTATAGAAGTAGTTTATCTGGTTGGCCTTGTTATTTCTGCACTGTTGTCTTTATCTACTTCAATACTTACATCCTTTAATTAGTGTAAAAAAATGCATTCAGAGTTTATCTGCAGCACCCAGAGTGTGTGTTTTTAGCAGTCTTGCAGTTATTTAAGTCTACAGTTTGTGGCAAGCCTTCAGCTTTTTGTTGCAAAATTACTGGTACCACCATCTCGAATATAGTTTCAAAAAGATGGTCCACATTATAGCCAGTTTTTGCACTAGTTTCAAAACACATTTTTTCTGCTGCTGGGGCATTTACTTCATCCAACATTTTATACTTGAGGATTTTCCTATAAAATGCTATGGCATCATTCACATGGACTTGTTTTTTCACCTTTGTAGAAATAAAACTGTTGGGGGGCTTCTCAATTTGCTTGTCTTCTGATTCTGGCAAAAAGGCGCACGCATCTGTCAGGTCAACTTTGTTCCCAGCAACAATGAAGAGGCAATCTGGGCTGGCAGAATCCGTTAACGCCAGGAACCTATCCTCAAGTTCCACCATGCTCTGCAGGTTAGTTACATCATACGTGAGAATAACAGCCGCAGCTCCTCGGCAGTACATGGATCCGAGGCCGTGGAATTGCTCACGACCTAGAAGAAAGAACGTGCAGGTACAGAATATTGGCTTGACAATTAAAAATGGTCCAAATATCAATTTCGGCTGTACTTTCTATGACTTTGTTGTACTTTTGCAACAACTGAAAACTATCACACAACACAGATCATGAATATATGTTCTCCTCTGAACTGGGCATATTTCAATATATCTCCCCCATTTCTGGCTAGGAAGACAAGGAAACTTTGTCCACCACTCCACCCTTATATATAGTTCCCAAAAGTGGTTGCTGCTGTTATTTTATTTCCGAAATAAAAATGTAAAAATCCTGCTTACAGTAGTGCCTTCGACGCCGATCTGTTAAAGCTTCTTTTGGAAAAGCTGCTTAAGTTACTGCCAGAAACCCAAACAACCCCTGTACGTTTTCAAAAGCTGAAATGTAGGGCCTAAAGTAAAACAGCAGCCAGGCGCTGGAGTGGAAACCCTTCCAGGTGTCTGAGCGGGCGCAGCGCCGCAAGACGGAACAACCCGGGTGGGTTGGGCGCTCACCTGCTGCGTACGGCGG